CGGCGTGCCTTGGGGTGGGGGGGGTACCTTGTGACGCAGCGTGGTTGACAGCCAGGACGCGACCTTAACTGGATTTTGTTCGATGATGCTCCTGATGGGCAAGTGGCTCAGTAAATTCTCAATAAGCGGTGCCGGTGGTGGCGGAGGAAATTGTGACCGAACAGGCAGGTGCTTCCGAAACTGATTCTTAGTGAAACTGGATTCCACTCGACCTTCGCGGAGCCGTATCCTGGGATGGCCAATAACTTTACTGGTGGCAGAACCACAGGCCTCTCCTGTAGCTCTTGGGTCCGTTTCAGATCTGTCCAGCCATCTCCCTGCCACCTCCAGATTGCCATGCCCTCTGCCCCTCTGCTCAAAAAACGTGTGATTCCTAAGGAATGAGTGAGGAAGTGGTATTGTTCATAAATGGGACGGCAGCACAGTGTTCCTGCCCTTCTCTCTCAACACCTACGGAGGGCTCGCCCTAGACACGCGGCAGCCCGTACATGCAGACATAGGACATAAGGAGGCCCTGGCAGGAGAGCCCACTCTGTAGGCCATCGAAGGGCAGAGGAATGGAAATGGAGTCGAGCGGGAGGTCCTGGGGGATGTGCTATTTGAGGATGGCTCAGTCTCTCTGAGGAGGTGACTTTTGAACAGAGACATGGAAAACGTGATTCTGTAAAAAGCAGCAGGCTGGAATGTTCCCCTCGCTGGATTATAGGAAGAAGCCAGCCATGGTGAGATAAAGGGGAGAAGCATTCCAGCCAGAGGGAGCAGTCTGGAGTAAGCAGGGTCCCCTGAGAACCTTTGCCTCTATCCTAAGAGCATTTATTTCTACATAGAGTGACACTCTGGGGGGATCAGATCAGTAAAGCAACGTTCGTATCAACACATCTCCCCCCCCCGCCAACGCCCCCAAAAAGAGGCACTTTTGCTTAAATGGGATTCACACCAGCAGGGCTGAGCTTTGTTGTGACTGGGTTGCCATGGGGCTCCTGTCCCTTCTAGAGAAGGGACACCCCAGATGGCCTTACCCACGACAAGGGCTTCAGATAGCAAGCTCTGCATTCTCTGAACTTGCTCTCTGAATATTTTACTCTTTCAATTCACATACACACATTTACACCACGGAAGGTGAGGAACAGCGATGATTTGATCTGAAGCCACTTCTGTTCCCGAAGCCTCGCTGCCCCTCAACCCTAGATTTTAACACACTGTAAATAACAGGTTACCCTCAATGTATTTATTCATATATACATGTATTTGCACGTTTCTTCCTCAGTTGGTTTAAGTTTCTTCGGCTTGCTGGAGAGTTTGGTTTTAGTTGGTTTCATTGACCTTCCTGGCACGGAGGAGTCTTCTGTAAGGGAAATTCCTTCCTGGATCAGTTAATAAAAGATCAACACAGAAGTGAGTCTTGTGCCACTTGACACTCCTGTGGTTTGTGTGGGACAGACGCCCTCTGTATTTTCTGCATTCTGGCTTGCTGTGCATTACCAACGCGAAGCAAAGGCCCTCCTGGCTAAACTTCAGGCAAAAAAGCCTTTGGAGGCCCTACATTCTGCTTGTTTCTTCCCTTGATGCCCAGGAGCTCCACACTCTCTCCAGCCCCACCCCTGGGTGGCTCTGAACTCCCTTAGTTCAACCTAAATTTCCATTTAAAGCATCTTCGCCCTGGTAATGGACTGGAGGGTGTTCCTGGTGGAGGGATGGGTGGCTCCCATCTTGCTGGCCTGATCACGGCTGGCGCCCAGCAGCTGAGTGCAGACCCTCCTGGAGCTCCACCGCCCTTGGTGGGTGTCTGATCATGCCTGTCCTCTCCTGCACACCAGCCTCCTTCTTTCCCCAGCACCTCCAGGTGCAGATAACCTAGGTCTTCAGCACATCTGGACCTCCCCGCCCCCTTTCTGTACTGATTTTAAATAACATACACTCATTTCCTTGTATCAGACACTCTAGAATGAATCACCTATCCCGCAAACATACCCCGAATGGCTAAGAGTGCTTCCTCCCTGGATTTGGCCTCTGAGTTGTGTCATTCAAGCTCTTTTGTTGCGTGGGGACAGCAAAGCAAAGTCACACCTTTGTAATCCCCCGGGACCCGCACACACAAAGCCAAACCGCAGACCTGCACTTTGCACAAAGTACGGATTCTTCTGGCCTCTTTAAAACAAGATATTGGTTTGTCTTGTTCTTTAGGTCCTGCTTTCATCTGGGTCTCACAGATACTTCATCACTGGGGAGCTTGGCTTAGTCCTCTGAGGGGTAATTTATTTTACTGCCGCGTTTTAATCTGTTATGCCCTTATTTTTCATAGCTTCCCTGAGAAAGTCATCAGGGAAAAAGCGCCTTTTTATTTGAGCAACGGTCGGAGCATTTATCTTTGAGCTTATGAAATTGTAGAATGTTTTTCCGTGTCCTGCTCTGTCATCTGTGTTTGCGTGTTTGTTTTTCATCCAGGCTGTGCTGTCTTCTCATTATGTGTGGCATTTGTCATTGCCGACTTTTGAGAAAGCAGTAAACACGGAACATCCTGTTCACGTACAGGCAGTGATTCCATAAAGCCCCCTTAATGCCCAGAGTGTGAGTTGTGTCCATTTAAATGAAGATGTACAAATCAGAAAATTGCCAATTAAAACCCCTTTTCAGTAGGAAAACATTACAGGGGTTTTCTTTTAACAGGAAGGGCAAGTTGGAGGAGAGAAGGAGCTTGTTGGAAGAGGAGGGTAGTTCTCTTGGGCTCAGTCCACCCTGAGGGTGGCAGGGCATGGCGCCGCTGTCTACTTTTCTGTATCCTGTCCTTTCTCTGAAGCGATCCTGCTCAAGGCATGGGCTGTTTGCTGCCTGGTGCCAGTGAGCTGAATAGAGAAATGGAGAGTGAGCAGTGAGCATGTTAAAGCAGTTGAACAGGGTGATTTTATGTCTGTGAGTCTAATAATGAATTTGAGCTTGTAGTTTATGTCTTTCATTTTCCCCCTACAATAATTATTTTATAAAAATATCCATTTGTAAAAGACAGAAAATCTAAAGGGGGAACCAAATGCAAAACGGATCCTCTTCTGCGAAGGTTTGAGAAGCACTGCTCCTTCCGTCTCTCAGTCGGTCACACACACACACACACACACCACCCCCATCTGATCCTCCTTGAAGGTCAGTCCTCTGGGCTTGGAGGCTCTCCCAGCACACACTTCTGCTCTCTCATCTTCTGGACAGTCAGTTGGTTGCAAAAAAAGAGGTCTTTGTTCCTCACAACACAGGAATGGGAGCATTGTTTTATTCCCTTACCATTTATGACGTTTGGAATTTCTGTTAAACCGTGTTATGTGGCTGTTTTCCTCTGGTTATTCCTGGGTTCTGAAGTGCTTTTGATTAATTGTGACGTTTGTAAGATTTTAGGGACTGAGGGTTGTTGCCCAGTTAGTATGCAGCAGTCATGCTGTCTCCCTGTTGATCAAATGTCAGTTCATATTGGGAATATGACCTATTCAGGAGTGTTTCTGGTGGGTCGTAAGGGAGGCAAGAGTTGAGTTTGGGCAGGACATGGGAGGTTAAAACTTAAGGGAGCTAATTTTTACAAAGTGGAAAACCAGTGTGTGTGTGGGGGGGTTATTTTGTTAAATACTAGAATGTTAACTTAAAATGTTAGGGTATTTTGAGCACCCGCAGTTAAAGATACTATGCTTCCTGTTTTCCATGATCTCAGCGATAGTTAAGGGAAGACTTGTTCGTGCTATAGAATTATAAATATATGTAATACTCTAAGCAGCCTTGAGCTGGGGTGGCTTCATCAGCCCCACCCACATAGTGATTGACTCCAGTTTGGGGTTCTGAGCAGATCCGTTTAAAGCCCTGTGCCGTAGGGCCGCTTTTCGATTCTTGTTTTTTCCTGCTCTCAAATACTGTTTCTTGAGCATCTTTATGAGCAGGGCCAGAGAGGTGGTTTAAAGCAGGACACGTACAGGTTCACACCCTCAAAGGTGTTTATTTTCCATTAGGCTGTTGAGATCTTGAAAATTCAAGGAAGAGCTAATAGGAGGCAATTTATGGTAAAGGTCAAGCCAGTTATACAGGGGGTAAAAACACTTAGGTGGATAAAGGAAAACGGTTACTGGCTACAGCGTTAGGAAAAAAGTGAAGAAACCTTTCCAAGAGTCATTAGGATTCAAATTAATAGAGTGTCTGACATGTAAAATTGTGTGAATGAACAATGTCTGGTTAAGGAGATTGAAGTTGTGATTTGTAGACACCAAAGGATAAATTAGGGGATTGGTATCTACGTAGGATGGTAATAGGGGAGAGGCCTGAGAAAGGTAGGTTAAGGCCAGTTTTTCAAATCCCTAACTAAGGACTTTGGACTTTTTGTGTGGGCAGAAGGTAACCCATAATTTGGCCATGAAGGAGGGGTTTTGAATAGACTAGAGAAGTGATCTTCCCCCCCTCCCCCCACCCCCTGCATTACAAGCTTTAATTCCAGGTGGATTTATTTGGCTGACTTGGAGTTAGAAGAGCTTAGAGATGGGGAGACTACTTCCTCTGGGGGTGTGAGACCAGGTCAGTGACAGGCTAAGGTGGACGGGGTGTCCTTACACAATATGAAGGCAGTTGTGCATGTGTTTGTGATAGTATCGTGTTAAAGCACAGAATGTGGCAGATGATTTGTGAAAAAGCACGAAAGTCATTAATCCCGTGTCACCTAATACCGCATGCCGCTTTGGAGATACCCAGGCACACACTGGTTTGTGCACAGGCACGCGCTTGTGTGCAAACGTACACACATGCTCATGGTGCATATTTTATATCAGTGTAGAGAATGTAGCCCTTTAAAGCAAATTTATTGCCCTTTAAAGCAGGCTTGTGGTTTACAAGAGTGAGAGAGAGATAGAGAACCTTAATTAGAAACAAAGAGTTTGCTTGAAATAAGGTCTCTCTTCCCTTCTGTGTCATGATTTTATTGCTGCAGGTAGATCTATATCCTCCGATCTCTGCTTGTTGTTAATTTTCTTTTGCTTTTACAGGCCCAGGCTGCAAGCACAAAGGAAGTTTGCTCAATCCCAGCCGAATAGTCCCAGCACAACTCCAGTAAAGATAGTGGAGCCATTGCTACCCCCTCCAGCTACTCAAATTTCTGACCTCTCTAAAAGGAAGCCTAAGACAGAAGATTTTCTTACTTTTCTCTGCCTTCGAGGTAAGACTGTGTTGCCATTTTGGAGGGAGCGGCCTGGTTGAAGGAAAAAGGGGCAAGGCCTGTCCCCAGGAGTTTTGATGTTGGCTTTGGTCTCTGCTCTACAACCTCTGTGAATTCCCAGCCTGGTTTGAGGGAGTGAGAGTGTAAAGTGAGGAATCCCACCCAGAGGGTGCTTGAGCCTTCCTGTTTCTCCTTCCCTTTTCCTCTGACTCCCGAATCACCTTTCTTGGCATCTCAACACACAGTGTCACAGTTTGTAGTCTTACATTTTTTTTTTTTGGTAGTCTTACATTTTTATAATTGACTTCTCCCTGACATCCTTTTAGGACCTCTATCACCCCAGCATCACCGTCACACACATGCTTTGCAAACTTGGCTTTTTGTTTTGTAATTTTTTTTTTTTTTTGGTGGGGTAGTTGTGGATGGGTGTTAGTTCCCGTTTCCTAGTGTTTCCTGAGGTCTGAGAATAAGCCACGCTAATGGAGGGTCCACTCCCTCCCCCCGCCATACTACTTTAGGAAAAATAACAGTAGTGCTTTGTAGGTGTAGATAACAGTGGAAATATTGGTCTGTCCATACGAACAGGACCAGTGAACGGAGTGCACGGAGAGGATTTTGTAATTACAAAATTACAATTTTGTAATGAAGGATGGGTTTGGATTTACATGGCCTTATTTTGGGAAAGTCTTTACTGTAGGAACTAAGTGAGGGAAGAACACAGAAAATGGTGAGGGAGATTGAGGGGCCTCTCCATTTCAGGTAGGAGCATCACAGAAGGGCGTCTTCGAGCTTCTCGTTGCCCTGTTGGGCCATAGCATTTCAGTCTGTTCTTTGATTGATGGTGCTCACGTTGGTCACTGAATCGCCGGAGGTCTGTCAGGCTTTTCCACGGAAAGCGGACCCTTGGCAGCCTTTGTGATTATACAGATTTCATTGTGAGGCTCTTTGTTTTTGTTTTTTTTGCGGTACGCGGGCCTCTCACTGCTGTGGCCTCTCCCGTTGCGGAGCACAGGCTCCGGACGCGCAGGCTCAGCGGCCATGGCTCACAGGCCCAGCCGCTCCGCGGCATATGGGATCCTCCCAGACCGGGGCACAAACCCGCGTCCCCTGCATTGGCAGGCGGACTCTCAACCACTGCACCACCAGGGAAGCCCACGAGGCTCTTTGAAACTCCATATTTCATTTCTCATCAAACTCGATTTACTCATTTTTTGGGGGATCTGGATGGGCTCATTTCCTGTTTTGTTCAGAGAGTTGTAATCTGTTTTGATGTTTGATTGTCCCAGATCCCATCAGTGTAGCCCCTTCAGGCTGGCTGCCTTGCCCTTTGACACGTCCCTGTCATGCTCCCATCCCAGCTCCCTGACGCAGTGGAATGTCCTGGACTCTTGTTGTGTACTCCCTCCCTCAGCCCCAGATCAGCCATTTCTTCTAAGAGCCCTGTTCATTTTAAGGAACAGCTGCTCTTTAGGAGCTAGGGTCTGGGCTTGAGGTGTGCTCATAGCTATCAGAGGGAAATGCGTTGTGTGTGTGGGGGGGCATGTGCAAGGGCATGTATGTATACATGTACACACATGCTCATTTAGTATGCACATCTATGTCTCTAGGTCTATTAAAATCCATGAACGAGCACCAGTACCTCCTAATTTTAGTTTAGCACCAAAGGGTTCCTTCTGGTTTTCTGTTTTTTTTTTTCCTATATTAAACAGTGAGAAAGTTGACTCCTGTTATCCATAAATTGTTTATTTGATCCATCTTTTCCAGTGTGCCCCACCTCCCATCTCTTCTGCCACCCTCCCCACGGCGCCCTTCTGATCTCACTTGGCTGGGACCCTGTGAACGGCCTGACCTGTGTGTGAACACCTACTTCTTCATCCTCCTTTGGCTCTCGCACACCACAGGGGCTGCCGTGGTCATTACACACACACACACACACACACACACACACACACACACACACACACACACACACCCCTTGTACCAGTTTGCTTTAGGACTAAATTGTTAGGGAAGGGAAAATGAAGGGTGAGGTTTTTGTTTGAGATTACAGGCTACTGATATGATAGTCCTGGGAGACTCAAGACATAAAGGAGGAGAATAACTGTATTTCAGTGCAGACCACTTCTCCCTCACGAAAGGGAGGTGGGGTGGGTAGCAGGGCCTCCTGCCAGCATCTCCCTTGGGTTTGACATAGCTCTTTGCCGAAGGAGTCTAGTGATCCTAGGTGTTGAGGGTGGAGATGGAAAGGAAGGTGTAAAAACCCACTAGCAAAGAATCAAGTGTAGGATTGGCTGTGAAGGGTGAAAGGAAGAGGAAAGATGAGAGTGACCAACCGGCTGGTAGACGGTGGGGTGGTGTCATGAGCAGTGGAGGGTGAGTGGGACCAGGTGATCAGAAGAAGGAATTTGAGCCAAAGGGATCTTTGAAGGGTCAACAAGTGTCATCAGAAGCAAGATGGTTCAGGTAAACAATTAAAGCTCTGTGTTGGTAAGACTCTTCATTGTGTCTTTTTAATCCCACTGGAGCCACATTTACCTTGGAGCCATGCCTTAACTCTTTTCTTTAGGAAGATTCACTGATCGTGTTCTATTAGGATGTCAGAAAACTGCTCTGCAGATTATGGAATTTAGTTACGAGCGGAATTTGTATATTTGTGCCACGTGCCTGTATATGCATGATTTGTTTACATCATATTTCCTCTGGTTTGGGGTGATTCAGGGAGGACCTGCTTGGAGAGGCATGCTTAGTACTCGAGTAAATGGCACGTAGGGAAAACATTCCCAAGTACCCAACTTTGACATTTCCAGGCTCGAGACACAAGAGAATCATGTCTTTTCATAGACACAGTTTACTTCTGTCACTTGTCAGATGGAACAAAAGTTTCAGTAAGTGAAACATAAGATGTTTAATTTTGGAAAAATGCTCTGAGGCTTGGAAAGTTCTTCCTGCGTTCATGAGCCAGACAATACAAATAGGTTCCGTTGTTTATTTTAGCTGATGTGCAATAAGGTTTTGACACAGAGTATTGCACTCTCTTCCTCTTCCTCCTGTGCTTTTTAGATTTAAGGTATTTTATTTTAAAAGCCAGGGCTGTGTGAGGTCAGGTGTGTTTACCTGATCTGGCTTTTCTAAAAGCCTCAAATGATAGGTGATTCGCTAAGTACTTCATGATATTGGAAATGTGATGGATTTGGTGGCCTTAGATGGCATACTTTAATATGCAGTTGCTTGAGCTAATTAAAACTCATATTTTGGGCTTCCTTGGTGGCGCAGTGGTTGAGAGTCCGCCTGCCGATGCAGGGGACGCGGGTTCGTGCCCCGGTCCGGGAAGATCCCACATGCCGCGGAGCGGCTGGGCCCGTGAGCCATGGCCGCTGAGCCTGCATGTCTGGAGCCTGTGCTCCGCAACGGGAGAGGCCACAACAGTGAGAGGCCCGCGTACCGCAAAACAAAAACAAAAACAAAAACAACAACTCGTATTTTGAGGTGTACAAGGGTTAAATAGACAAAGCCTGTTGTAGTGGTACTTTAATAATTCTCTTTCGGTTTCAAATGTTGAAACTTTTTTTAGTTATAAATGTATTTCATGTTCCCTAGGGAAGATCAGCAGAAAAGATGGGGAAACAGACCAAAAAAAAAAGAATCAAAATACCCCTCCCTCTCATCTCCCAGAGACAACCACTGTTTATCGTCTCCTTGGTGAAAATGTTACTAAGCCTTCTCTGTGCATATACAATACAAGTCACACACCCCAACTGGAATTGCATTATATTTTTATTTTTGCAATCTGGTTTTCCTGTTTCACACTCTCACATAAATACCCCTTCCATCTTGTGGATGTCTCATCATTTATCTAATTCTTGATTTACATGTAGATGTATTTCTAACTTTTAGGTATCAACTGCTGGTGACACTTCCTCACTTAAGTCTTGGCCTCATCTGGCATCTTAACAGACAAAGTTGATAGTTGGGAATTTGATTAACTTTTTCTTTTACACCTGCATTCTAATTCTGCCGCTGCTTTTTTCGTTCGGGTTCCACACCAAACAGAGTTTGTCTGAGCCCTAAACTTCATGCTCAGCCTCAAGAGCCCGGCCACTCCATCACCCTTTACAGGAGTCTCTGGGTAAAGGAGACAGTCTTGATAGGCTTCAGTATTGGTGGGAAAGAAAGCCTGGCTGCAGAAATCGTGAAGGAATCAAAGACCTGGAAACGATGTTTATTTCCAAGGATTACAGATCATCCTTTTCTCCAGTCCTCCGTTATTACCCGTAATAGTCTCAGCGCTAATTTGGAATATGGAAGAGAATGAATCTTGAGACTGAGAAAAAGCCGGCAAGTAGAGTTCTTTAAGCCTTGGTGTTCGTTACCCATCGTGACACTCAGCAAGCCCAAGACCCAGCCTTCTCCCCACAGCTCCATTAAGTATCTTCAGCGAAAGCCTGGGGTGGGGAAAAATGATACCATTAATAATTCTGGGATTAGTGTGTACATGTCAACACAGCAGCCAGTTGTTCAGGGATAAGAAGCTTTAGAGATTTAAAAAATCTGTCGTAAGGCACGCATAGACCTTTCAGCTAAGTTTGGCAGGGCTCTCTCCTTTCCTATTTAATATCATGACCTAAAATCTCTAAAGGAACCGAAGAGTGAATAGTGCAGCCGGCCCGAAGTATTTGCCTGCAGTGTATTTATCTTTAAATGGCTGCTTTGAAGGGGGTCCACATGGCTCCTGCCAGAGGCATAATTAGCATCTTTTGCCGAGAAGGGGGAGGGGTGTGTGCCCTGGGCGGCGTGCATCAATTCTAACCATCGCTGCATTTTCTGTCACCGGTCTCGTTATTCTTAATGAGTTCTGTCTTCTTCTCTTTGTCCTGACTGTGATTATTAGCAGGTTAAAAAAGCTTAACACAGCAGAGCAGTGGCAGGTTAAATGATTCTCTTATTTATATTTTTCTCTTTATGGGGCTCTGCAAACAAGGGGATTCCCAAGGGGCATCCCT